CCGCCCTTCCAAACTCTTTCCGGGGTCGTGTGTATGCGTACACACCAAACACGATATCAATGTAAAATTTATGGTTTATTAATATTGATTATTTTTACACCCGCGTCGCATAACCAATATGCATAACTCCTGCGTTGAAAACGGGAAACCCGTCCATTTTTATTTTTTGTGGCCAGATATATTTATACCACAGAGGCAATATTGCACGGGAGATCGATATCCCATCGCCACTGGGCTTAAATTTTGATAATATTATTATTATTATAATTATCATCCTTATTATCACTATTAATATGAATGTCATCATTATCGTTATTGCACTATTGCCCATAAAGTTAAACAAAAACACCTTTTTCATGAAAATTAATGATTGTGGCAATATGATTCATTCTTAATAGATAAGTTTATATCTCCTCAGAGCTTTATTTCCAATCTTTATGACACATAAACTCTCATGACTCTTAAATTGATATAGATGGCGGTTGTGGGCTGGGGGTTAAACTAGAGGGAGGGGTGATGTGCGTGAAGATATTATATGGGTTTGGTTACAGAGTCAAGAGACGGAGAGAGAGAGAGAGAGAGAGAGCAAAATGAGGGAGATAGGATGGTGATGTAGACTTTGAATTGTTTGGAGGTTATGATTTACGCATACAGTTCGTTTGACAACAGTATACCCAACTCTGATTGATTCCCAAATACAGATAAAAACTTGTATGGCATTGTTATATCATTCGTATTGAATAGTTGCTAATATTCGTGTATTGAAACCAAAACTCTGCTGCCATGGATGACTGGGCAGCAGCCTTTTCAAAATGTATTGTCAACATCCCCGTGTACCAATAAGTTTGGGCTGCAGCATTCAATGTGGGTGAAAAGCCTTTACGCACTGTTATTTAACTCCGAAAACGTACTTGCATTATTTTGTGCAATTGCGCAGAAAAAGTAAGTTTAAAAAAAAAATGATTTTCTTTTTGTAATGATGACACAAACGTGGCTTATTTCGTATTCCTTGTTAAGCTAAGCCTTGCCACTGAAGCATTCAGAATGGACGAAGTATACTTGGAATGCTATCCTTTTCCTTAAAAGTCTACTGTCAATATCTTTGAGGTTCGTAAACCTCTGATTTTAATGTGCTTTCGAGACAACCATATGCCCTTTAAACGTCTTTTGCATTCAAAATGGGGAATTGGACAAGTGAGCAGGACAATTTTCAACATCATGATATAAGAAGTTAGAAGGCTGTTAAATAATGAACCATAGCATTGATAATGTCCACACTTTTACATTGAAACATTTATGAGAAGTAGTATAGAAGTCGTAGTAGCAGTAATAATATAAGTAGTAGAAATAGAATTAGTGGGAGTAGAAGTAGTAGTAGTAGATGTAGTTGTATTAGTAGTACTTGATTATATTTGTAGTAATTGTACTTCTAGTAAGTACTTGTGATATACAATAGTTATATTTAAATTACAAGAAAGAGAGAATAGTGAAAAGCCCAGTGTTTTATTTCTTAAACTACCTTGTAAGATTTGTTTAGCACAATAAATGAATGTGGAATATAAATATACGTAGTACTAGTTTAGCAGTAGCAGTATTAGTAGCAGCAGAAGTAATATTAGAAGTAGAATTAGCTGGAGTGGTAGCTGTAATAGATGTTACAGTAGTAGTACTAGTAGTACAAACATGTTACTGTAATATAGTTATAGTTGTAGTTGTATAGTATATGAATAGTAATAGTAGTAGTAGTAGTAGTGGTAGTGGTTGTAGAAGTAGAATTAGTATAGTAGTAGTAGTAGTAGTAGTATCAATAATAGCAAATACTAATAATGAATAGGATAGGCACATATTCAACATTGTTATTGTCATCATTACTCGGTAGATCATCCAGTTTCAGTATATTTTGTATATTCCTATGCTTGGCATTGAATGACTTTACCCTTGTGGAAGTTCATGTTGAAAGAAAACAGTGAATTAACAGTTCATTCAAAAAACATATTTAGGTGCAGTGGCATATTAGCTCTATTCATGAAGCAATTTGAATTTGACATGAAGTAAAGAGTTTGTTGGCAATGACATCTCTATTTTGTATCACTTGAAATGTTATAAAGACAATGTCTTATTTCATAACATCTTTGTAATCACTTCCAAATAATTAACTTACGCCCATTTCACTAGGCTTTTTTTTTTTTTTTTTTTTTTTTTTTTTTTTTACCTCCCCTGCTTTTGAGATAATGCGAACATGATTTCTATTAGCTCTGCAGTATAGAAATTGTTCTTGAACCTACATGTTTTTTCTCGAAAGTGTGTAGTTATCACATTTTGGGGGTATTTCACTATCATTTTTGGCCCCCTTATTCATTTGATAGAAAGTAAATTACATGCATTACAAGCATGTTTTTACAAACATGTCATATCATGACAAAATTAACATAGCATTTTAATATTGAATACCTTGGAACACCCACAGCTCTCTGCGTGATTTTTAAACTTCTTCACTCCTTTCTTCCAGTTACAAAATCCCTGATCCACAGATGCGCCCCTTCTTATTGAATCTGATTGGGTTAGAATATTTTTGAACGCAAAGCAGAACGGCCGGTGTAAAAATGTCAGAGGAAAAAATGTCTGAGGTAACTGGTAACTAGATGGACCTTCGACTGCACGCAGTCGGAAATGATGTCTCTACCATAGAGCGAATTTACAAACCAAAAACAATGTCAAAGATATTTCAATGTTCATTTCTGTTATATCACTACGTTTATTATTGCCTGTTATTGTTTATATTATGTAAAAAGAAATGAAAAATAAATTCGCTCTGAAAAGAGCTACTACTACTACTACTAAAAGTTCAAGTTTGATTGTAATCCATTAGGCCTAACAGTTTCTCAGAATATCGTGAATACATTTTTTTTTCGTAAACATGTTTGACCCTATCTGATCTTTGACCTCATAAAATCTAATCTAATCCGTTCATTATGGCTCTGTAAGATACATACATGTCCTGAGTTTGATAGTAATCCATCAGTTCTAATGAGAATGCGTTCACAAGCTATTTATGCATACATAATGAGCCCGTGACCTTTGACCTCATGACCCCAAAATCTACTCAGTTCATTGGCTCTGCAAGATTCATACATGCTTTGAGTTTGATGGTAAGCCGTCCATCTGTTCTAATGGTAGTGTGATCACAAGCTATTTTTGCAAAAATAATGACCTTTGACCTTTGAACTCATGACCCCCAAATCTAAGCAGTTCATTACAGAAAGATACATTCCTGTACATGTCCTGAGTTTGGTGGTAATCTGTCCATCGGTGCTAATGATGTGATCATGAGCCATGTTTGCATAGGCTAATGAGCGTGTGTCCTTTGACCTCGTGACCCCAAAATATAATCATTTCATTCATGGCTCTGCAAGATACACACATGACCTAATTTTGGCAGGAATTCATGAATCGGTTCTTTAGATAACGCGATCTCGAGACGTACGGACGGACGGACAGCCCAAAAACAAAATGCCTCCGGCTTCTTCGTAACGGAGGCATAACAATGTCAGAGGTAAAAGAGGTGGAGATCAAACTTAAATCGGCCAGATTCTGGACTAACCGGTTTGACGCAATGATCATGAACATAGTTTCGACCTAGGTATACTTCTTTTACGGTAAGCCGGCTCCCGATTTTCTCGCGATGTCATTTATTTTAAGTACACATATCTTTGCACTTGTAATTTTTGCCAATCAAATGCGGCGTCTGGCCAGCTTTTGTTTTTTTTATAAATTTTCTGGAAAAAAAAAATCGTTTTAGTAGAAGGCCTATGTTTATCATGTTGTTTTGATTTATATTTTTGTTTAAAGTAGGCGGCCACACAAAAATATAGCAGGCTGGGACGCTAAACATGAATTTAATTTTATTTCGTCTAATAATATACTTGTTTTGTTGCTGCTCGTTGAAATTGCTCAACATGCCTATATTTAGATGATTCAAAACAAAATATGAAATATAACTAGACCTTACAATTTATGTAGATCGATGCACATGCATATAGGCCAAATAAAAATTCGAGTTAAATTCCAATTAATTCATTGGAATAATTTACTGAATGTTATGAACCGCCAAAATATCATTAGGGAAGACTTTCTCTTCTCTTTAATAAGGGTTGTTCAGAGATGGCGAGGTAACCCGCCGCAAAAAAAAACCGCCGCGGTTTTCAATTACATGTAAAATCAAAGGCAGATGCCCACCAAAGGACATATTCATACCCACTGAGCTCTGTTTAATAAGATATAGAAATTCGAAGCCTATTACACTTTTCGTCATGAGAAGAAAATAAAAACCTAGGCGCTTTTGCTGCGTAATATCTGAATAAGCCATTACAAGGTAGAACCAACTTACTGAAGAATTCAATGGTTAATTAATATCTTTAACGATTTTTTTTTTGTTTAAAGAGCTATAGTTATTGTAAAAACCAATCATGTAAAATCTCAATAAAATCAGATATCAAATCAAATCATATCTCAGTCAAATCAAGTCTTAGTCAAATAAAATAAAAATATCAATTTAATCAAATAAAATAAAATCTCAATCAAAGGAAAGCAAATCATATTTCAGTCAAATCAAGTCTTAGCCAAATGAAATAAAATCTCAGTAAAATAAAAAAAAAATAAAAAAATCACCATCAAAGGAAATCAAATCAAATCATATTCAATAAAATTCCGATCAAATTAAATTAAATCATACCACATCAGGTCCTCTATTCACCCGGCTTTATTGTTGGTTTAATGGTAGGTAAAAGTTGAACTGGAAAAGACCTTATTCCTCATATCAAAGGCCTACACTTTGCAGATAGGCACGTAGTCTATCAACTGTATATTATTTGTATATAGTTTTAACTCTGCTAATGAAAGATAAACTAATACAGCCTAATTTTATTTTGAATAATATACTACGTTAAGTACAATTTTATTCAAACAAATCATACATTCACTGATCCACAAATATAAACAGATACGTCTAATGCATTTTTAATCAAACAAACTATGCATATACAGCCGTACATCATTTCAATGCAATGAATATAAAAACTCCTTTCTTACGTAGAAAAAGAAAGGGAAAGACAGCTGGGTCATTCCCCTATTTGTATAATGAAATTTAATCGAGTTTTAAACACTGAACGGGGAAGATGTAGAAGTACTGTGGTATAAAATATGACACATTGAATATGAGACAAGGAATATTTCGTCAGCCAATAATATATTTTTAGAAGCCACTATTTGTTTGAAAGAACATGGGATAATGTAACAAAATAAAAATGAAACATAAAAAAAGAGAAACTTGTAATAATTCAATCACAAACAATGGTGCCACAAAACAGGTGCCACAATACCTAGAGACGCTACTGTCACCTCTGGTGTTACTAGCTGTAAACAGTTTTGAGACAAATACCTCAGTGAAAGCACGTTTACGTTTAAAAAACAAAAACACCAGACAAACAAAACACATTTTGAACAAGAAGATTCACTCAGGACAATATGAACACTGTTCTGGGGGTAACCTGACTTGTTGAACAAAATATTGTAACAAAGTGCTATTTTGTGCTGTAGTTCAGTTAGTTCTGCTTCGTCACTCGTCATCCCATGTCGATGTGGGTTGAAATCTAGCTAACTCCTGTAAAAAGGTGGTCATGTGCAGTAGCGGGCCTAAAATAAGGTTTAGGGAGACTTGAGGAACTTGGGGGTTATTTGCATGCGTTTTCCATGTCCGTCGCGATTTAAAAAAGGGAAATATGAAAACATTGGGGAGGGGAGCTTTCGCAATGGAAAAGGGTTGATTATGTAGCACTTAGGAATTGGTGTACTATCGGAATCATCAACATCTAAAAACAGTCTAGCTGGATGTCACGTGCATTGTAAATATAAATGTGTATATGGGATTACGCACACATGTGGCATTAAATTTTGTCTGAACACTTCATCTGTTTCTTGGTATATTTCGAATGTAAGGGTTTTTTGAAGTGCCCCTTTTTTGCAGGGGATTTTTTTAACTATGTTATTTTTCACACTAACGTAAAGAGAATAGAAGAAAGGGGCTCAAAATCATTTTCCACCTTTCTCAGAACTCATCTTTCTCTTCAATTATTAATCCTCCTCTTCTGGTAGTAGGGTGCTCACAAGGTTAATCTGTTCAGCCCTAAGTAGAGCAGCCCTAAGTCTTACACGTTCCTGCGATTTATCAACCCTTTTGCGCCATGTCCTCAGCATGTCGAGGGTACCTCTCCAAGTGACGCCATCATTTTTCGGATGAAGCGTTCGGTATCTGGTACGCTGACGTACAGTTCCGAAGCAAGGCGGTCGATTTCTTAATCATCACTCATAAACTCGGCTACCCTCCGCAAGATCTTGTCAAATTCATCACTTACTTCCATGCAACTAAGAAATAAAAGGGAAACAAAATAGAAATTATTCAGAATATTCAAAGAGTCATCCAAAACACCTTAATTATTGACTACAACCATCTCCAATCATATACAGGATCCTAACCAAGTATGTTGTCGTCATAATTGTAAATTTAGGAATCTTTTTTAATCTTGAATTGAAAAAAAAGAGTTGTTTACCAACTTACCTTTACCATGGAGTTACTCCATGCCTTTACCTATACATCTTTGGTTAACAGCAGTATATAAATATAATTCAGATTGCTAGGAATTACACTTTATAATTATTGATGTTTAAATATTTAGCCAAATACACTTTCATCCTATTTTACCTCTGATAAGACAAATTTGACAAAATGTAAAAAAAAGTCCTAACCAAAATCATTTTTTGTTTTAATTAGCGTTTATATGATATTGACCTACCTTCCGGGCTTACCTCTATCGACAAGGGGAGCAGAGGATGCACATGTATGTCAGTATTAGAAATATATATATATATATATATATATATATATATTATCTGAACAGAAAGACTTTGTTGACTTTGTTGTTGAGGTTATCGTTGGGTAGTTCTACTTTGTTTATCTATTGATAATAAGATAAATTACCTGTTTTATTCACTGACAAAATAATTTTGTTTCCTCATTGCAACCACATTGTGCAATTTATTAATGAGTAGCATATGTACTCCCTGCTGCAGTGCTCTGCTGGTACCGACAAATCACCTTTTTTGTGATAGTGGAAAGTTGTGGTTGTCTCATAAAGCTTGTGAGAGGAATAGAAAGTTGTGAATATGATTACCTGGTGTGCCGCAAGGATGGCTCGGGGAGGATACAAGTCAGTCCTTGAGTGTTTCTTTGTCTGACGGGACAGGAATTCTAAACTTCTCTAGTTCTGGAGACAAAAAGCACAAATGTTTGTGAAGATATCATATCACAATATGGATTATGTGAACATGTTACCTGGGAACAACATAATAGGTCTTAATTGAAATCTTGAGATCTGCGTTCTTAATGCGTTGTACGTACAGCAGAAAGGGTAAATAAATACGGGAAAAGAGACAGAGAGAGAGTAAGACTATGTGTACCCGTTTCACTTTAAAATTCAAAATTTTCCCACTCTATAAAGGGACAAGGAGGATCCCCTTGCACAGTGTTTTTCAACCGGGTGCTGCGGTGCCCTGCGCTGCCGCAAAGGGAATGTTAGTTAAATATTAAAAATGTATTTTGGAATAATGTCAACTTCATGAAAGCAAAGTATCAGAAACCGCAAGATGCCCAAATATATAATATCACTTTGGGTAGTTTATTTTGATGAGTAAATAACATTTCAGAGATAGTAAGTAATATGCAAATAATTGAAGCACGAAAATGAAGAGGAAAATACCTTATTACCACTTAAATATCATATTCGAGGCTGAATAATGATTCCCTTTTTTCAAGAGTTCTTTCACATCTTGACTAGTGTGTAGACAATTGATTGTATGAAATGCAAGATATCGGCTTTGTTTTTAGCTCTGTAAATTGTTATCATTACTATGTGGTTATTTATGTTATAAATTAACATAAGCAAAAGAATAATCTACGAACCTGCTTTGATGACGTCAGCATATTCCTTCATGCCATTCTCTAGAAATTTCCTTCTCAGATTGAGAGCACTTTCACTGTTCCGTCCATTCCTCAAAACATACTGGCACAAGAGATCTTCGAATGCGTAATGTTGATTTTTGTCGACATTTGCCTGTATCGCTGCGCCAGAGCCCTTGGCTCGGCTTAATCCCAGGCAAACGCTTATGGTTTGTGCGGTGACCTGCCCAGGATCAATCTTTTGTGACAATGTCAGCACAAATTTTTCCGTCAAAATGTCCGCCATCACAAGTTGCGATGTACTGTCGCTAGAAAATAAATATACATATTTAAGGTTTTAGGACAATTACCAGCGACTAATTAACAGCGGACATTACCCCCCCCCCCCCCCAGACAATAACCCTGATGATAGTTCCCCACGGAAGCACCCGTGGACAATTATCAGGGGGTTAGTTGTCCTTGGGGGTGGTTATTTTCCAGGTTGTCATTTTCCGTTTTTTTTTTCCTTATAAGATATTTGAGATGTAATAATCGAATAACGATATGATTTAAATAAACGCATGTATGGATACATTTGCCGGTTCTAAGACAATTACCCCGTGGACAATCACCACCCCCCCCCCCCCCCCCCCCCCACCTGAAAACTACTCCCGAGGAAAATTACCCCCAAAAATTACCCCCTAGGACAATTATCCACCCCCTATGAAAATTACCCTCTTAGACATTCACCCCCCCCCCCCCCCCCCGTGGACAATAATTATCCCATTTATAAAATTCTGCTTTAACCAACTTATTTTCAGGGGAACAGAGAAGGTAATTTCCCTAGGGAGTAATTTTCAGGGGTGGTGAGTAGTTGTCCATGGAGGATTATTATCTCGGGGGCTATTTTCCTCGTGGGTGGTTGTCCTTGGATGTTTTTTTCCAGGGGGTCATTTTCGGGGGGTCATTGTCCTGATTAGATATTTAAGGTGTCATGATAGAATACCGTTATGATTTGAATAAACGCATGAATGGATACATTTTCCGGTTCTCAGCAATACCCCCCGGAAAATTACCCTAAAAGGACAATTACCTTCAATGCTAATCTTAATTGTTATTTAATGATGCATGTTCCGTTTTTTTTTTATAAATGTATATAAACAAATTACTTTGTGCTATGCTACCTGAATTGCTCGGTTGACTACGCATTTTGACTACGCATTTTAACCGGGTGACTCTGTGTATTGGTGCTAATGCATTATTTTGTATACAAATTTCCTTATTCCATTTGGTTTTAAATTTCTCCCCTCTTTGGGGGTTTTCTTCTACAATACTTATTTTTTCCAGGAACCTATAATATACGAGCACTGCTTCTTGATAGGTTCCTCACATTCTACGTAATCTACTATATGAATTGACAATCATTGAGACGTGCTCATATACTATTTTTGGTAAAATGTGGAACAATAAAAACTTGAACTTGAACTCGATAATGACCCCCCCCCCCGAGGAAAAATACCCCCTAAATACTACCCCCTTGGACAATCATATCTCTCCCAGAGGACAATTATCAACCCCCTTAACCCCCCCCCCTGTGGACAATTACCCCCCCCCCCCCCCCAGGACAATTTCCTCCCTAAAAAATTACCACCTTTGACAATCATCCCCTCCCCCCGAGGACGGTTACTCCCCCAAAAAAAATTAAACCAACTTATTTTGAGGGTGGACTTCCACTTTAATGAAAAAATGGTAATTATCCGGCGTTGAGGTAATTGTTCTCGGGGGTGGTTGTCCTTGTTTTTCCAGGGGTGGGGTAATTGTCCTGTGGATAATTTTTAGGGATGGGTTGTAATTGTCCTAGGGGGTGATTTCCCGGGGTAAATGTTCTCGGGGATGGTTTTTGTTGGGGGTTGTTTTCCGGGAGTTTAATTTTCCAAGGGGTGATTGTCCAGGGGGTAATTGTCCTGATACGGTTGTCAATGTATGGTCTATTGTAAACAGGTGGTCAGCTCTGGTGAAGCTACATACCACTCTCCCTTGGTAGCTCACTAATGATTGACAAGCTAAGTTGAATGAGATCTGGAGCATTTTTTGAGGGTGTAGCTAAGCAGGTCTGAGAAAATTGTTTTTAAAAATATTTTAAAATCTATGAAATATATTTAGATGTTTGAATAACAGAATATGAGTTGTATGCGTGCATCCCTGCACACAAACAGGAATCAATTTATATTAGGATGTCACCCGACCTTAAAAGAAACTATGTCCCTTTTGCAACCAACATAAAGTTCTGTAGAACTTTGCAGGAATTATGATTATGTCATGTATGTCCTATCTGTTAAATGTAAACGTTAGCAGTGTCCTAGTATTCAAATTATGCAAAGAAACCCGTTTACTTTCTAGACTCTCCTGTTAGACACAATTGAGTAACTGACTGACAACTTTTTTTTCTCTGGTAATAACATATATAAGATGAGCTGTAACAGATACATGAGCATTTGTCAACATCAATAACCCACTACTTGTAATGGCCAAAATTAAACTGATTGAATCTTTGTGCAGCACAAAACGTACGACCATTCAGTACAAGGGTCTGCAACTCAGACTATTAATTAGTTGATTGCAATCACTTATGTCGATTCGACAACTAATCGTCGTTATTTTTCCACAAAAAAGCCATTTTCCAAACCCTTTCGTTTTGAGGGAAGTTCTAAATAAGTATTGTCTTTCAAATGCCGTTGAAATTTAATCTTTTCATTTTTTGACCTACAAATGGGACACAGTAACTTTAAGACAGTGTCTAAAATGGGAACAAGGTTTAAAATCTATACTTCAAATTGGCAAATTTGTACTGCCTTTGATAATTCGTATTCACATTGATTCAATTCATATACATTCTCCTTTTGTTAACCATAGAATTGGAAAAAAGTAATTATCGGTGCTAATTTGAGGAAGAAAAGATGATTTTTGTAGACGCTGTGGGTTAATAGTTAAAACATCCAACCTGTGTTCATTATCACTGACCTTGTCGATCCTTCATCTGCCCTGGCATCCGGAGATGAACCCGATGTGTCACCACCTATTGTTGAAATGATTTGATTCGACTTTATTTGATTAAGTTTAGATTTATCAGGGTTGCCCTATAGGTAACTGAGATACCAAGTTCTTCCTAAGGGCAGAGGGGGCCCTGCCCGGCAGAAATGACAACACACATTCAATTGACAACTACATGATACATATAATTAACAAATATATATATTTTTAACATGAGTAATATAGATAGAGGTTGAGATATCATTTCATTTTTTGAAGAGTAAAACATCACCTCAGAACTTCATATGATATGTGCCAAACCTAAATAAATGGACTGAGAAAAAGCACAAAACATTTTTTCATATTTACCACAACTTATCAAAAGTTTTTTTGTTTTGCTCCTTTAATATCAATCACCTGAGTAGTCAATGTTGAAAAGAAGATCGCCCCTATTCTTAGTACCCTCAGTTAACGATAGATTAACCACAGCAAACTGCTCCCCGCGTTCAGAGAAGTCCAGCATGAAGTCGACAGTATTTCGGATCAATTTCCTGATGTCATTGAACAGAATTGTCCGCTGTTCAAAAGTAAAAGTTATTTCATTATTGTAAAAGAAATGTTGCTGATTGTAATAATAATAATAGTAATATTGAAAATGATAATAACAATTTTAATGATAATAACAATAATAATGGTGATGATAGCGATAATGATGCTGATAATATTAATGATATAGTTTAACCAGGGAAGCTGTTCATTATGATCGAGGGCCCTGCAATTATTACTACCCCAGCGATTGCTAGCTACCCATTTACACCTGGGTGGAGAGTGGCAGATTCGGATTAATGTCTTGCCAAATGACGTTATCACCAGGTTGTGATTTGAATCCTAAACCCTAGAATTAAGAGTCAAGTGAATGAACCCCTATACTACCGACACCTCTAAACAAAATATTTAACAAAATCACTGCAAACCTATCAGTGTATTACAAATTTACAATACACTGTAATACACTTTACTGTGGCCGTTTCCTTCCTTATCTGGAGGAACATTAGGAAAGACTATTAGGGTATTGCCTACTCATATCTTCTACTTGCAAAAAAATCTAGACAAGTCTAAAACATCGGGAATGCCTTTTTGTGGACGGTCTGAGGCTAGGTCTACGTGCATAATTTGTTTCATTGTGTTTTACCTTTACCATCAAACAAAATAATTAAATAAAACGAAATAAACAAACAAAAAAAGGCAATCAAATAAACGAGAAACTCAGACGAACGTTTTATTTGGTTTGGTTTCGTGTTTTAAAGACCGCCAATACTACTGGGCCAGAAGGGATTAGACCACACAGCGAGGTCACTGACAGGTGGCTATCTCATTAGCTCTCAACTAACATAAGAAAAAGAGGATCATGGGGACCAACAGGCACCGATTGGGGAATTTTTCTATATAGAGGGAGCAAGTAGCTAGGACAGTGGGGCTTTAACTTGGAAATGTATGGGCCTTTTATTTTAGACAGTTGGTAAACATAATCTCCTTTTAGAGACTTTTTGTAATACCTTTGGATTAAACTAAAATCTTTATTTAATTTTAATGCCGTATATTGAGTTGTTCATGAATAAGAACTATTTAATTGCTAAACTGGCAACATGGTGTAAAATTTGTAATGATTATTTTTATGCGCGAATTGGCAATTTGCTGTTTTTTTTCTAATTAACATTGTTTCATTTGATATACATTTTTATTATTTACAATCATTTATAATTATGAGTGGAAAATAATAATAATTGTTGCCAATTTGACCAGGAAACCTAATTTATTTCTTTATTTAGAAAACTCCTAACTGCTATGGTTTGAATAAAGAGATATAAGTTAGCCCATACCGGAGTCTGCTCGGGCTCGTTGCCATGGTCGTTGCTTCCATCCATACCGTAAGTGACATCTAGGTTGGCTCTCGCCTGGAGTTCTTTCTTAGGATGAGCCTTGCGGAAATCACACTCGGATTCATCCTCAGTAATCTCCTTAAAAATAAATGAACAATATCAACGATTATGTAAATAACATAAAAAATAACATGCATTATCTTGCTTTATAACACGTTTCTAGTAATACTATCTTTAAAGGGGAAGTTTAGATACATTAATTTTATTAGAACAATGAAGCAATAAAAGATTAATATTAGTGTTGCCAATTTGAAGATTAAGATGTGATCAATATTTAGCTAATATTGAGCTCTGGTATATTTGTATTTTGTATTTATTAACATTTATTTCTTTGTTAACGGTACGACATGAAACACAATGTGTATATGAGTAACAATGATTTCAACATAGAGTAAACAGTAAATAATTCAGACACCAGAAGAAGGCGAAAAGCCGAAAAGCATATCTTCAGTTGGGAACGCCCATAATAAGTTAACACAGTTACTGAGAGAACATTATAGATATTATGAAAATTACATATTGGCATCGTAATGTCGTAAATATGTCGTATGTTGAGAGAACATGGCTATAATTCATTTTGGAATGTCTATCCTGCAGTAGATTGATTGTTTGAACCAGTAAAATAAAATCAACCTCATAAAAAATTGCTCGAAATCATCTTTAATAAGAGCCACAATTCTCATTTGCACATAGGACCTGTGTGCAGCACATGGTGTCGGGCCTACCTACCTTGATTCCCTTATCTTCCTATTCCTTATCTTACTATGCTCATTACTCAGCCCCTATACATTTTCTACCAAAATCTTGAACATTAAGTAAGTATTGTTAATTTATTTTCTATCATTACCAGAACTCAAGTTTATCTTTGAAGAATTCTAGTCTTGAACGGGATGAGAATGATTTGAAGGAATAAAGGAAGTTACCTTGGGATTGCCTTTAACGTTGTCAAAGAGATGCACTCTAAGGATCGGTTTCTTCGTTGGGGGCATCCCTTTTGGCACGAAGGACAAGCATCCCAACCGCTTGCCTCTCACAAATGGATTGCGAATCTTCAGGACTGGCCATCCAAATGAAAAGTGGTCAATGAAGACGGTTATCTCCTTGTCATCTACCTTACAACTTGGAAGTCTATTTTCTGACGGCGGGACGTAAGTGATGGTACTGATCTGCACATCTCCTGGTTAGTACATGGAAGTGCCGAGCATTTAAAAATCATCATCAAGATATATAAAACAAATGAAATCCTTGATCATTTGACAGAAAAGCAAACATTCATTTTGGTAGTAGCGTTTCTATGGGGTTTGTACGGCTCACCCCCCCCCCCCACTCCTCCCAAAATCTTCAAAAACCGCTCCTGCATTTTGGGTTAAACAAAAGGGAAAATCTACATATGCAACTGATATGCATATGAATACTGAATAATGATTTATAGGGCGGCAAAAAATTGACTTCAACTTGACCAATTAATCTTAGCCATTCAAAGTAATGTACATGTAGTTAGCCTTGTTTGTTTTGTATTTTGTTTTGTCTATTTTTCATTTAGTGTCAGTCTCGTTGGTGTGCCTTGGGTGTTATGCATGGTAGCACATGAGCTAGAAAAATGATGTTCTTACCTGTATCATGCCACAGCTCACCATTGTAGATCCCCGTCCCGACTTCAGAAGGATCACCAAGGATGGCAGAATGCGGAAGGGTCACTCTGACGGGTACTGCGAATCTGAAACCTGGTGAATTCAGAATAGTGCACTGGAATCCGAAGCTGCAGACCATCTCGTCCTCTTGGAAGTGTGTGGATGGAGGATTGGTTAACGCCTGGAGACCAATTTCAATTTTCCCCTCTTCCTGTATGGCCCCTTCTGGCACACAAAGCGTAATGTCGTGTGTCTCAAGTCTTAGCTCCCCTCCTAGCTTGCCAAATGATTTGCTGATAGGTTTAGAGGTAGGTTTCCGCATGAACTGATCAGAAATGGCGAGAATACGGCTTACACCTCTTGCAACAGAAGAGAAGTATTGTAGTTGTGTACATGATCTCACTATTTCGAGTATTTCTGTTCTTTCTAAAGAACCACACTCATCTGTCTCGAGTTTACTTATCCTAGGAAACTTCTTCACGATGCCCAGGAGGTCTTCGAAAGCTATCAAGGATGTTGACTGCTTCAAATAAAGCTTTTCAGTGGGCATTTGCCCTGTCTTGGTCCAGTCTAGGTAGATTTGGTGTTCAGCTGTTATATTATGCTGGAAGATGAAATTTGTTATGCTTTTAAAAGCCTTGAATACCAGTTCGTTTAGACATGCAAAAGGTATTACATTGACTGGAATGATTTCCAGGTGAGACAGAGCGGAGTCAGAGAATTCCATCTTACTTTCCATTTGAACATCTACCTTGCACTGCGATATTCGAAGAAACGGGAGATGTGAAAGTTGTTCTACGATAAATTTCGAAAAGGTTAGCAGGCAAAGAGATCCCATAAATTGTTTTAAACAAAACTTACGAAGTTTTGGGAGGAAGCTACTGGGAAGCGGTTGCATGTACCCCAAGATATCAAGCTTGGTTTGGTCATCTCCATCCAAAGTCAGATCAGATATTTTGGGAAAGATGGAGGAAACCATCGCCAGCAGAGCTCTAAATGGGAGGTCAGTCGTCTGACGACATCGAATGTATATTTCAATTTCAGGCGAATACTTCTTATCCCTCTCATCGACGGACGTTGTGGAGTCGCTCTCAAGGACTGATTCCTCGGAAATGGACACTGGAACGTTTGCATGTAGTCTTAGAATACGTAATTTTGGACAGGATCGAGCTACAAATGACAACACTTCTGTCAAGGGTAAGTTCGATTGTTGGAGATCAAGAATGGTTGTATCATGGTCTGCATCCCACGCCCATGATGTTATTGGCGGGTGGTATTGTGGCTCCTCTGCCAGTTCAGGATGGTACTGGAGTTCCTGTTCCTCGGGAATTGTTGTAAGTTCTAAATAAATTATGATATTGTTTCTTAATTTATTTGCCTTTAATGTGTTTTCTATAGATGTCCTTAATTTTACGACTACGACATTCACCTTTCCTTTATTTATTTGGACCCCAAGGAAGAACAGTTTTGTCATGTTAAAGAAGCTGAGTGGGCTATCCAGCTTTTCATTATATTCTTGATTTAAATGTACTTTTAAACTTTTCATATATTGTTTTTATATTTTTATTTGAAAAATAAAAAAACCTTACCATACCATCTATCAGTTATATAATGAGGGAATGAGAGTTTTGGTTTGTCAAACAAAATGTTTATATATGAGTAGTGATGCATCAAAAAACACCATGCAGTCTCGGTCAAAAAAAGTAATCAAATGTTTTTATTGTCGTTCTGATGTTATATATGCTACAGGAATTACCTCAGGTCCCCGCTGATTAAAAGCCGAGGATCTGCGCCGTGTTAGCGTGTTGTTATGTGTGTGTGTGTGTGTGTGTGTGTGTGTATATATATATATATATATATATATATACTATACACACGCACACACACAAAGAACAATATGTATCTAAAGTTAAAGTACTCACTCATTTCATTAACTATACTTTTCTGAAAAGTTCTTTTTTTGCGAGCGAGAGTTCATGACATTCCCCGCCCCGTATCCAAATATGATTGGATAATGTGGATATCCATGAACTGATCATCGAAATGAAAGTTTCGTGGTATAGTGGTTCATTCACTTGACTCTCAATCCAAGGATTGAGGGTTCGAATCCCAGCTCGGCTCTAATGTATCTACATTTGCCACTCTCCACTGAGGTGCAAATGGGAACATGGCAATCAGCGTAATAATGATTGCGGGGCCATAAGGAGAACAGCATTGATGCTGCATGATGGGGCTTACCGGATGAAGTATTTTTTTACACAACTGTTCAGCAATTTTCGCGAAAAAATTCCAATGAAACCATGACTGTATTTTAAACCTGCGCATGCACGCATGGTAATCGTTAGGGTTAGTGATATGGTTATAATAATCATGCAAACCCAGCTTTCATCAACCCATCGTTTGCTCAATCGGTAAGGATAGCGTAATGCAATCTTGGAGTTGTGAATTCGAATCTCAGTATTTATTCTGTCCTATTTTTGGACTTTATAAATAGTGAGGCAAAGCAATACCATATCTAATCCGCCTTCTTAATAATCAGCTTCTTTGAATATAATATGTTATATTTCTCAATGTTAGACTATGTCTCTAGTCGTTTGCATAGTATATTTCACTGAAGTGGCTTAACAGTTGTGTAAAGAAAATATGTGCTTCCCGGATAAACAAAATTATTATTATGAATTATTATTGTCAGTATTACCTTCATATTTCATCCTATCAGCGGCTTGCACGTTGATAGTCAATTTCTTCGTATCAGATAAGTTAGCACTCAACTCTTCCGTAAAACCAAAGCCATATTCCTAGCATAAAAAAGAAAGAAAAAAAACCAACAATCACACACACACACAAAGCAAAAACAAATAAGAAAAAGGAAAAATAATCAATTGAATATGACTAGTCTTTAACCACGACCAAAAACACTGTGAAATCAATTTTAAAGCCCCATTGAGCACCCCCCCCCCCCCCCTCGGGATATAGTACTATGGCGATCAGCTCATAGAATTAATAGTTTTAACAAATGCACGGTATATTGGTATACAAGATCATCATACTCTACATAAATTAAATGTTATTATTATTATCACATTGATTACTACTACTACTACTACTACTACGACAAAGTACTTCTCCTACCACCATTACTACTATTAGTGTATTATACTTATATCATTATTACTATCATCATCATTAGAACTAATAATAGTAGTAGTAGAAGTAGTAGTAGTAGTAGTAGTAGAAATAGTAGTAGTAGTAGTAGTAACAGTATCACTAGTAGTAGTAGTAGTAGTAGTAGTAGTAATAGTAGTAGTAGTGGTGTCAGTAGGAGTAGATGTATTAGTAGTAGAAGTCGTAGTAGTAGTAGTAGCAGTAGTTGTAGTAGTAGTATAGAAATAATAGTAGTAGTAATACCAGTAGTATAGGTAGTAGAAGTGGTAGTAGTAGTAATAGTAGGAGTTGTTGTATTTATAGTAGTAGAAGTAATTTAGAAGAATGAAATTTGTAGCAACACCATCATCATCATCATTATCGTTCACCATCATCATCATCATCATCATCATCTTCGTCGTCGTCATCATTATTTACCGTTTCATCACCATCTACTGACTCTACAGGCTTCTCACTTCCTTCCTTTTGGCCGTCTTTAAGTTTACGGGTCATCTTGGCCTCCTCGAGGAGAGGATCCTTGAACAATACAAAAAAAAAACGTATTGGCGAGGAATATAAATTTGATTGTATGGTAATGATCCTAAAATAAAGTCGTAACAAATTTCGGTCGCGGAGTCCGTTCATTGGCCAACAGACGTACCGTATTTGGTTCATTTGAATCTCAAGACATTATAGACTATACAGTGAGTATCAAAAAGAGTACACTGTTTGAAATTATGCTCTAAAATGAAACCTTCACTTCATGATTTCTCATTGAAAAATCATGTAATCACAGAATTTCCATTTTTGTCTTTGTCCACTTTGACAAAATGTAATGCAATACAGAAAATGTACATAAAGTTCAATTTTCATAAAAGAGAGACCAACATGCAATTTTAAACAGATAAATTGTCATGATGGGTTCCTGTCTTGAAGATGTATAAAACATGCAATGTAAATGTGTAATGCATGTTGATATTTTCAATTCAAATCCATGTTTGATTGGAAAAAAGCAACAACAATAAAAGAATTATCATAATAATAATAATAATCATTATCATTATTATCTGTCTGTAAATATTACTATTTTTAACTTATTAATTGTGTACATCTCTGTCAGGGACCCCACTGGAAATAAGTTCGCGAGCTTCCGTGGGTTATCCTGTTCAAGCTGAATTAATTTGGATCTGTTATTCTTGTCAGGGGCGTCGAAGTTCCCCCCACCCTCCCGCGCGAAGCGCGAAAACTATGACGTTTCATTAAATTATTATTAAAAAAAGACGATTTGCTGTACCGTTCTCGACTGTTTATCCTTGTCTGAATTCAGTCCCCCCCCCCCCCCTCACGCGCAAAGCGCGGAAGCTTTGACGTTTCATTAAATTATGAGAAAAAGCAGACGATTCGGTGTACTGTTCTTGACACTTAATCCTTGTCTGAATTCAGTTTCTCCCCCTCCTGCGCAAAGCGCGGAAGCTTTGACGTTTCATTAAATTATGAGGAAAAGCAGACGATTCGGTGTACTGTTCTTGACACTTAATCCTTGTCTGAATTCAGTTTCTCCCCCTCCTGCGCAAAGCGCGGAAGCTTTGACGTTTCATTAAATTATGAGGAAAAGCAGACGATTCGGTTTACTGTTCTCGACTCTTAATCCTTATCTGAATGAAGCTTCCCCCTCCCGCGCGGAAGTTTTGACGTTACATTAAATTATTAGAGAAAGAAGACGATTCGTCGTACCGTTTTTGACTCCTAATAAGCCCTATTCATCTGAATACAGTTTCCCCCTCTCGCGCGAAGCGCGAAAGCTTTGACCTTTCCTCATATTATTAAAGAAAGAACACGATTCGTTGTACCGTTCTCGACTCGTCTAAATGAAGTTTTCCCCTTTCGCGCAAAGCGCGGAATTAAGTTTGGCGTTTCATCACAATATAGAGAAAGGAAGACGATTCATCGTACCGTTTTCGACTCTTATTAAGCCCTATTCATCTGAATTCAGATTCCCCCTCTCGCGCGAAAACTTTGACGTTTCCTCAAATTATTAGAGAAAGAACACGATTTGTTGTACCGTTTTCGACTGTAAATAAGCCCTATTAATTTTGTCTGAATTCAGTTTTCCCCTCTCTCGCGAAGCGCGGAATTTTTGGCGTTTCATCACAATATAGAGAAAGGAAGACGATTCATCGTACCGTTTTCGAATCTTTTTAAGCCCGATTCATATGAATTCGGTTTCCCCTCCCGCGCGAAGCGCGAAAGCTTTGGCGTTTATTCAAATTATTAGAGAAAGAACACGATTCGTTGTACCGTTTTCGACTTTTAATAAGCCCTATTTGTCTGAATTCAGTTTCCCATCCTCGCGCGAAGCGCGGAAGCTTTGACGTTTCATTAAATTATGAGAAAAAGCAGACGATTCGGTTTACTGTTCTCGACTCTTAATCCTTATCTGAATAAAGCTTCTCCCTCCGCGCGAAGCGCGGAATTTTTAACGTGCCATTAAATTATTAGAGAAAGAAGACGATTCGTCGTACCGTTTTCGACTCTTAATAAGCCCTATTCATCTGAATTCAGTTTCCCCTTCTCGCGCGAAGCGCGAAAGCTTTGATCTTTCCTCATATTATTAGAGAAAGTACACAATTCGTTGTACCGTTTTCGACTCTAAATAAGTCCTTTTAATTTTGTCTGAATTCAGTTTCCCTCTCTCGCGCGAAGCGCGGAAACTTTGACGTTTCATTTAATTATTAGAGAAGGAAGACGATTCGTTGTACCGTTCTCGACTCGTCTAAATGAAGTTTCCCCTTCCGCGCGAAGCGCGGAATTTTTGGCGTTTCATCACAATATAAAGAAAGAAAGACGATACGTCGTACCTTTGTTGACTTTTAAACCTTGTTTGAATTTAGTTTCCCCAAAAATGTTAAACCTCTGATTTCTTTAGCTGATATTTATTATAGGAAAGTGAAACTTCGAGAATATACAAGTATTGTAGTTGTAGTCACTCTCGAAGTCGTCACAGCGGATAAGAAGCAGGGCTCGAATTACCCACCGGCAATCGGCAATTTGCCGCCATGCCCCTCTCACTGGCCGGAATGCCCTTTTCAAAATCAAACCGTTTACGGCCACAATATTTTAATCCACAAAAGTTTTGCCGACATTATAGTCATCGTAAGCCAACTCGACTTGTAATGTTCAAAAAGGTTTTGTTGCCCATACGGAGCTCTAAAAACAATGATAGTCGGCAAGGTTTTGTTGCCCCTCCGGAGCTCTAAAAACAATGATAGTCGGCAAGGTTTTGTTGCCCCTCCGGAGCTCTAAAAACAATAATTACGGGAAGGTTTTGTTGCCCCTCCGGAGCTCTAAAAACAATGATAGTCGGCAAGGTTTTGTTGCCCCTCCGGAGCTCTAAAAACAATAATAGTCGGCAAGGTTTTGTTGCCCCTCCGGAGCTCTAAAAACAATATTTATCGGCAAGGTTTTGTTGCCCCTCCGGAGCTCTAAAAACAATAATTACCGGAAGGTTTTGTTGCCCCTCCGGAGCTCTAAAAACAATGATAGTCGGCAAGGTTTTGTTGCCCCTCCGAGGCTCTAAAAACAATAATTATCGGAAGGTTTTGTTGCCCCTCCGGAGCTCTAAAAACAATAATTACCGGAAGGTTTTGTTGCCCCTCCGGAGCTCTAACAACAATGATAGTCGGCAAGGTTTTGTTGCCCCTCCGAGGCTCTACAAACAATAATTATCGGAAGGTTTTGTTGCCCCTCCGGAGCTCTAAAAACAATAATTACCGGAAGGTTCTGTTGCCCCTCCGGAGCTCTTAAAACAATGATAGTCGGCAAGGATGTGTTGCCCCTCCGAGGCTCTACAAACAATAATTATCGGAAGGTTTTGTTGCCCCTCCGGAGCTCTAAAAACAATAATTACCGGAAGGTTTTGTTGCCCCTCCGGAGCTCTAAAAACAATGATAAGTCGGCAAGGTTTTGTTGCCCCTCCGGAGCTCTAAAAACAATATTTATCGGCAAGGTTTTGTTGCCCCTCCGGAGCTACAGTATATAAAAAAAAAAATTACCGGAAGGTTTTGTTGCCCCTACGGAGCTCTAAAAACAATATTTATCAGCAAGGTTTTGTTGCCCCTCCGAGGCTCTAAAAACAATAATTATCGGAAGGTTTTGTTGCCCCTCCGGAGCTCTAAAAACAATAATTATCGGGAAGGTTTAGTTGCCCCTACGGACCTCTAAAAACAATAATAATCGGCAAGGTTTTGTTGCCCCTCTGGAGCTCTAAAAACAATAATTACCGGAAGGTTTTGTTGCCCCTACGGAGCTCTAAAAACAATAATAATCGGCAAGGTTTTGTTGCCCCTCCGGAGCTCTAAAAACAATAATAGACGGCAAGGTTTTGTTGCCCCTCCGGAGCTCTAAAAACAATATTTATCGGCAAGGTTTTGTTGCCCCTCCGGAGCTCTAAAAACAATATTTATCGGCAAGGTTTTGTTGCCCCTCCGAGGCTCTAAAAACAATAATTATCGGAAGGTTTTGTTGCCCCTCCGGAGCTCTAAAAACAATAATTATCGGCAAGGTTTAGTTGCCCCTACGGACCTCTAAAAACAATAATAATCGGCAAGATTTTGTTGCCCCTCTGGAGCTCTAAAAACAATAATTACCGGAAGGTTTTGTTGCCCCTACGGAGCTCTAAAAACAATATTTATCGGCAAGGTTTTGTTGCCCCTCCGGAGCTCTAAAAACAATAATTACCGGAAGGTTTTGTTGCCCCTACGGAGCTTTAAAAACAATATTTATCGGCAAGGTTTTGTTGCCCCTCCGAGGTTCTAAAAACAATAATTATCGGAAGGTTTTGTTGCCCCTCCGGAGCTCTAAAAACAATAATTATCGGCAAGGTTTAGTTGCCCCTACGGACCTCTAAAAACAATAATTACCGGAAGGTTTTGTTGCCCCTACGGAGCTCTAAAAACAATAATAGTCGGCAAGGTTTTGTTGCCCCTCCGGAGCTCTAAAAACAATATTTATCGGCAAGGTTTTGTTGCCCCTCCGGAGCTCTAAAAACAATAATTACCGGAAGGTTTTGTTGCCCCTCCGGAGCTCTAAAAGCAATAATAGTCGGCAAGGTTTTGTTGCCCCTCCGGAGCTCTAAAAACAATAATTACTGGAAGGTTTTGTTGCCCCTACGGAGATCTAAAACAATGATAATCGGCAAGACTTTGGTGCCCCTACGGAGATCTAAAACAATAATTATTGGCGAGACTTAATTTCCACTATGGAACTCCTAAATTAATTAGCGGGACTTAATTGCCGATACGGAGATATGAAAGAATGTCTTCATCCAAATGACTGAAACGTTTGGCACAAAAACCGTAATGACTCAGGCTTAGTTTTTCAATCCATCCTTTTTATTTGAACCAATCAATATCGGGAAGTTTTGTTTACCCATCGTTGGTTCAACATCTTTACTTCGCGTTGTGACCTTTTTTGGTGCGTTTTCACAGTGTTTAATCAGTGAAAAACTTGGATTTTTCTCGGGAGGTTCTGGAATTAAATCAGAAAAGGATTAAGAGTCGAGATAATGGTACAAAGAATCATCTTCTTTCCCATACGTTTTAATTAAAACGTCATAGCTTCCGCCCATCGCGCGGGAGGGGTGTGAATTGAGTTCAGAAAAGGATAATACCGGTAGTCGAGATCGAGACGAATCGTCTTCTTTCCCTAATAATTTATTAAAAACGTCTAAGCTTCCGCGCTTCCCTTGGAATTCAGAAAAGGATAAAGAGTCAAGAACGGTACAACGAATCATCTTCTTTCTCTAATAATTCAATGAAACGTCAAAGGGGGAAACTCCCCCCCCCCCCCCATTTTTTTTTGAAAAGCATTTTAAAGAGAAATAGAAAGAAAGAGAGCAAGAAAGAAAAAATAGTTAACTACCAGTTTCTCAACAAAATAAGGTATCAAAAATTGCTCATCTGATCGTAATTAAACGCCTAAAACCCCTGAGCTCTGCCCCCGGGACCCAACCAAGGGCTCTTTGGCAGGCCTCTTGATACTCATCTGACTGCAATTTAGTGCCTAAAACCCTTGATCTTCTGGGGGCTCCGCCCGCTGGACCTCACGCCAATCAGTGTCCTGCCAGTGTCGCAAATAAAGTATAAAAACATGTTCATCTGACCGTAATCAAATGCTTAAACCCCTGAGCTTCTGGGGGCTCTGCCCCCTGGACCCCACTGGATGCTAATCTGACGGTAATGTAATGCTTTAAACCCATGGGCTTCTGGGGGCTCCGCCCGCTGGATCTCACGCCAATCAGTATCCTGCCAGTGTCACAAAAAAGGTATAAAAATATGTTCATCAAATGCCTGAAACCCCTGAAATTCAGGGGTTTCCGCACCCTCGACTCCACCAGGGGCCCTGGGGCGGGCCCCTGAATGCTTATCTGACCGTAATTTGCCTTCAACCCATGAGTTTCCGGGGGCGAACAAGGTATCAAAAGATGTTCATCTGACCACAGGCACGTAGCCAGGGGGGGGGGCAGTGGGGGCGCCCCCCCCCCCCAAAAAAAGCCAAAAAAAGAGAGGGGAGAAAAGGAAGAGGACGTATGAAGAAAAAGGAGCAGACAAAAAACATTTTTGAAATTCAGACAAGGATTAAGAGTCGAGAACGGTACAACGAATCGTCTTCTTTCTCTAATGATTCAATGAAACATAAAAGCTTCCGCGCTTTGCGCGGGAAGGGGAAAACTGTATTCATGCAGGCGAGGATTATTTTCGAGAACGGTACAACGAATCGTCTTGTTTCTCTAATAATTAAATTAAATGTCAAAGCTTCCGCGCTTCGATCGCGCAGGAGGTGGAGTAACTGAATTTAGACAAGGATTAAGAGTCGAGAACGATACAACGAATTGTCTTCTTTCTCTTATGATTTAATAAAACGTAAAAGCTTTCACGCTTTGCGCACGCGGATGGGGGGGGAACTGAATTCAGACGAGGATTAAGAGTCGAGAACGGGACAACGAATCGTCTTCTTTCTCTAATGATTTAATGAAACGTAAAAGCTTCCGAGCTTTGCGGGGGAGGGGGAGGGGATGAATCTAGACGAGGATTAAGAGTAAAAAACGGGACAACGAATCGTCTTCTTCCTCTAATGATTTAATGAAACGTAAAAGCTTCCGAGCTTTGCGGGGGAGGGGGGGGGGATGAATTTAGACGAGGATTAAGAGTAAAAAACGGTACAACGAAACCTCTTCTTTCTCTAATGATTTAATGAAACGTAAAAGCTTCCGCGCTTTGCGCGGAGGGAGGGGAACTGTATTCAGACGAGCAGGCACGTACGCGGGGGGGGGGGGGGTTTGGGGCGCTAACCCCCCCCCCCTTCGGTTTTTTTTATGTCTGTATTTTGGAGCAACCCCCCCCCCTTTTTTTTTTTTAAATGAAACACACACACAAAAAAAAATTATGCCAATGGCTGATCTAAAAAAGGTGACCTCACCCCCCCCCCCACCCCTCCCCCACCCCAAAGGGAACAAAATGTCAAATTTTCAAATTTCGAGACCAAAAAACATATAAAAGTGTCCTCTTACCCCCCCCCCCCCCCCCCCCCCCCCCCCCCGCTTATTCAGCGGCTGGCTGAGTCGTTGCGATTTTTTTGGGGGGACAACAACAAAAAAGTGGCCCCCCCCCCCCCCTAAGGAAGAAATCCTGGATCCGCCCCTGGGTGCACATATCCCCCCCCCCCCCACCTTGAAAACAACGGTGTGAGGTGATTTTACGAGCACTTTTCACGTTGGCCTTAGTGCCCCTTAGGATAGATTTGTGCCCCTTTCAGAGGATTTGTGCCCTCTCTAAAAAGTGGCCTTGACCCAAATTTGATGTAATTCGAGGCCTGAAGAAGTCACAGTTCGTAGGGAAAAACTTGTCGGCCGACCGACAATATACATCTCACCGACTTCAAACTTTTGTCTTGATATAGTACGAGGATCGAGCAAGAATACCGACAAAGCTGACCCGACATAGCAACATATTTACCCGTGTCTTTCTTGCTCCCTCGACGAGACGATTACACCCAACTACCCCCTTCTCTCGTTTATTCCCACTCCTCCTCTCTTAGACTCTTACCTCCCCTCTCTCTCCTCTCTTTCATTCCCCGTTTCTTTTGTTTCCCTTTCACTTTTTTTCTCTCTTTTTTAGTCTTCTTTTCTTTTTCTTTCTTTTTCTTTCTTTCCTCTCCTCCCTCTTTTTCTTTTTTTCTCTTTCTTTCTTCTCTTTCTTTTCCTTTCTTTACCTTTCTTTCTTTTCTTTTTTTTTCTTCTTTTCTTTCCCTTTCCCTCTCTTTTTCCCCCTCTCTTCCCCCCCCTCTCTGTTTTTTCCTCTCTTTTTTTCCCTCCCCCTTTTCTCTTTTTCCCGACGGCAGTACAAATTTACCGACAATATCCTGACAGGTGGGGGGGGTGTCGCACCCCCCCCCCCTTTGGCGACGCCCCTGATTCTTGTATATTGTTGCATGTTGGAAGCTTGGCGAATAACAATCAATCAATCAATCAACACAGTATTACATTTGTCAATATTTATGTTTCCTTTCCTAATTTCTAATCACCATGATACACCTTGTTTCTTGGAACCTGTGACTTTCAAAATGAATTAGGCATTTAAAGAAGAAGACATGTACATTGTAGAATCTATTTCCGTTAAATTTAATCATTCAAGAAACTGACAGATCTAGGCTCTGCTCAAGGCTTTATGAATAAGGGAAAAGTGTAAAATAAGAGCCTGTGTTTGAACTACTCCAGTGCAGATCGACCGGTGTGCGCTGGCTCTATTTCGAACACCCCCTTCAAACCCCGTTTAAAACATTGTATTTGAGGATAAATTAAAATAACATCATACTTTTTTGTCGGTATATATATATATATATATATATATATATATATATATATATATATATATATATATAATATAACATGAATACACCTACTGCATGGAGTAAAACCCTACCTTTTATCAGCAACTGGCAATTCGTTCTCTTCTACGACAGATCAGATCGAAGCAATGGAGCACAATATTCAAAGTATAACTGCACAGTACTATTATGATATATGACACGAACGGAGTTTAATGTATAGTGCATGTTCTATGTACATCTCCTCGTAAATCTCCTGCCTGAATATCATGTAGGTATCGATCCAATTAACGTAGGCCTACTGCTATTTTTTGTGAACCTGCTGTGTAGTAAAAAGAATATTATTTTCGCACACTAGCAGTACTATACGTACGTGGGTCGGTTGATATCAGTAAAAATGCGCTATTGTCTGGTTGATTTGCTGTTTTAAGTGAGCACAAATAAAAATGGCGATCTGTTGCAGCCCACTTCGAAAACAAAAATTGTATTCACCGATCAAGTGCATTTACGTGGGTATTCCCCGCGAAAACAGTTACGCATTATCTATGTACACAATATGGGATCTCTATGGCGCACATTATTGCGCCATCTTTGGCCCGAGCATCACCAGGGGGGTGTTTCACAAAGATCCTAAGTAGAACTTAACTCTAAGTTGAACTTAAAAATTATGGACAGCCATTGGAGTCTTAAAATGAAATATATTCAAAAGCAGAAATTCAAGTATTTTAGACTTTTTATAAATTCCACATCCAGAACATGAAATCTCCTTGATGATAGAAAATACGAATGATTTGAATAAACAATTAATGCCTTTCAAAATAACTTTTACAAAATATTTTCAAAGATGCTAATGGCTTTCCATAAATTTTAAGTCTAACTTAGAGATAAGTTCAACTTAGGATCTTTGTGAAACACCCCCCCCCCCCCCCCCCCCAGGAATTAGTACTAAGTACCACTCATAGAGATATCTCTATGGGAACCACTTCAAGTTCAACTCGGCGGCCATGAAATTTCTTCCTACCATGCACGGTTCACCTGGGTCGAGTGTGGCAAAAGACAGTATAGTGCCGCAGTAACAGGGATCCCACCACCTGATCAGATGTCCACTGACTTATTCATTAGATCAGGACAAAGAAAAGCGCAGAACAAAACAAAGTTATATATATATATAAATTACTGACAAGTTTATTGAAGAAAGTAAAGACGGTTTTGATTTCAGTAACTAAAATTAACAACAGCATTGTTGGAGACTACCATAATATTTGAGGTCAACTATCATGCATTATGATTATGCATTATGATTCATATTTGTTAAAATGTTTATTATGATAGTTAATCAGTATAACCATAAGCAGAATTTGATAACTGGGTTCGCAAACCAAAGAGACGGCCCTCTCTTTTCACAATAGAAGAATAACAATTTTAGGTGTAACATGTGTAGCCTATACTGAGCCTCATTTGCATTTTGCATAGAAAACTCTATAGCAAACGGGACACAATAGTATTCTTATGATTCCTCAAATAAACAGCGTTTCATTTGTAAAAATGAATTATATTTGGATACATTGTTCCTTAATGTGCATTTACATAGGAAACTCAAAATTCAAAAAGTAAAGAGAACCAATCGATTATAATATTGTTATGATTCTTCAGCGAAACAGTGCGTCATGAAAATTTCCTTTAAATAACATTACGAACAGACAATATTCCTCACAATAGCTACATCACTAATCTGTCTCATGCTTTCTATAAATGGTTCAAACAGAATTCAGTGTGCGACCATCATTGATCAACATTCTCAAAAGATGGGGGCGACAATGTTAATAGAGTCCCGATTGAGTGAAATAAACTAAAGGCTGCATCTTCGCACGCATCATTACAATCCGATCACTTAATTTATTCATCAATTTCCCTAATATTCCTTGTTCCCCCCCCCCCTTCTTTTTCATTTTTCGTCGACATACACAAAGCCGCCCTCCGAAGAGAAAAGCAAATATATTCGATCTAACACGATTTTTTTTAACGAACAGACAATATTTCTCACAATAGCTACATCACTATTCTGTCTCATGCTTTCTATAAAGGGCTCAAACGGAATTCAGTGAGCGATCGTTACCGTTCTCAAAAATGGATGGTGCAATGTGAAAAGGGTCGTGGTTGACCCCGTTACCAAGCGAGGTCACGCGTAGACATACACAAAGCTGCCCTCCTCGATGAAATCATTTTTTATACATGTACTAATATTAGACGCTCATGCTTCACCGAACCCATTCCATTACAATTGGTGCATCGATCGCGGTACATAATCAATGGGACCATTATATAGTTCGGAGCAAAACCAAAACGTTACGCTGTTAACGCTTGTCCTTGTAAATGGTTGTGATCGGTCGATGATGATGATGTATGGATATATCTCATGCCTTGGCTTTCAGTAGGAAACATCAACATGGAGTACTAGTAATAACTACTTCCAAAGTACAAGGAACTTCTTCTAGATCTCCACCAGAGACTGCGAGAGTTATATTTCTGGGTCAAGTTTCATTCTGGCGCGAAACCAGATCAAGCGTACTTCACCATAATCATCAAGAAAACGTTTACTAAGATGTGCAATTATCACTCGATCTGTGTAAATCTGTCTAGTCTGTAACGAGCTGAAGTGTTCATTAAGTCTGAGTATCATACTCACTGACATCATGGCTTCGGGAACTCCTAAAAGTCCTCGACCAGGGAGAAAGCTAACTGTAGCTGTTAACATTCCCAAACCATCATCGGATTCCAGACTATTTCTCGAGCCATCCAAGCCAACAGGCAGGTCGCCGTCATCACCCCTTGCGAAAATTTCTTCCTTGGATGCGTCAGAGAATAACAGCGGACCTCATCCCCCACGTTCCCCTCGACCGTCCACCCCAAATTTCCATCAGGTTCGATCACCGTATGGCAGTCCGAATGAGCATGGCACTCGACCTCGTCGACATACGGTGAGTGTGGTCGAACCGACAAAGGTTGCCGTGCCGATTGTTCGTCATAAAACGTTTCCCGCATCTATCTTTCACGATGAACCCAATTTCGGTATTGACTCAATCGACGACGAAGCTGATCATGAAGCCGAAAACCCACAACCTCTGCCGGCATCGTCGTCTTTCTTTCAGCAAGCAATGCTCGATCTTAAAAGAAGACCGAGTCGGAGTTCACAGTCATCCATCGATGACGAAGAATCGACACGGTCGAAAGGGAACGCGACGCCGTCCCCGAGAGCCAGCCATCCCTTACGATCACCACCAGCCATCAAGATCAGTCATATTGAAGAGAAGAATGCAAGCTACTCACTGGACATCGAGTTCAACGTTTCAAACGACGACGATGATATATTTGGATCACAGGGTGACGAAAATAAACTGAGTAGTAGCGCGCCAGACTCTTTCCTCGAGGAAACGAGAAAAAGTACAATTTTACGACTTCAACTTGCTAAAACACAACTAAGCTTATCCGAACGTGCCCTCAATCAAACATCGTCAAAAGATCCACATAAAACTGTCATCAAGAAAAACGAAAGGACCGTCCCGAAGTCGGCTCGGAGGTCGAAGCCAGGTGTGATGTTGAGCGTGGACGTCTCTCCTCTTGGTGGTCCGCTTAGGAAGTGGAGATCGACAGAAGGGTCTCTGCCAGCTCTTAGCACTGCAACTCCTTCCCGTCATCATATAAATCATTCTCCATTTCTATCGTCCCCTATGATGATGAGGAAAGGGAGTGTCCCTGCGGTGTTGTCGATGCCTCCGAAAGTGAGACCGCGATCGAGTCTGCAAGATCTGCAGGCATCATTTAAAGATGGCGAACAACAAGGGTAGGATATAATAGTCATTCTGGTGTTTCTCCTTCTCCTTCTCCTCTTCGTTCCCCTCCTCCTCCTCTTTATTTTCTTCTCATTTGATGAATTATTGCGACATTGCATATTTAAGTCAAACTGCTTTCAAATGTTCAAAGAATCAGCATAACAAATCATATTTGTGCAAAGACATTTGGTATTTTGTCTCATTTCAATGTCTGTGCATTTTGTAAATATTCTTCGGGAAGATCCAAATTATCAACAATTGGCATTTGTAAAATAAATATATATCACTCGGTTTTCGTTTTTGTTCCAATCTTGAATTTCCAAAATACTTTGGATATATAATTTTCACAGCCAATTAAAATATTTGGAATAACATGTTTATAGTCATCGCCATTGGATACAAGGGACCAGATTATTAATAAATTAACAGCCATTACAAAATAGATTCAGACAAGTATTTGATAACCGATATCATTTACAAACATCATTAATGAATTCGTTGGCCCCCAACACAGATCATTTTTGTTGAAAAAAGCACCCATATCATTAACAAATACCATTCATGACTTTTTAGGCCCTCGAAAGTAGACTTTGACCCCGTTTTGGAGCCTTGTTCCAGACATGTGTTATGAGATATCGAAATCTAATCAGATTTTAAAAAGTTACAATTTAAACATTGAACTTGTGGTTACGTGCCGAAGCAGAGAGCTTAAGCGAACATGCCCTGTTTACATACAATCACAGCACGATTATAAATGATCAACTGTTCATTATCATACCTCAGTTAATTAATAATTTATTTATTGAATATAAGAACATAAAGCATGTAAAAGAGGATATCGACGTTTGTAGCGCATTCAGTATTCTACATTATTTCGCTAGTCAGCCTTATTATGATATAGTTAATAATAATAATATTATGTGGCTTTGTTTTCGTGTGATACAAGAATAAATTGCTCTCGCTATAATAATATTGAACTCGTCTCCGACTCGTTCAATATTGTCATAGCTTGAGCAATATATTCTTGTATCACACTCAAAGCCATCCGATATTATATAACTACTACAAAGCATATCGGAGAAAGTGGTCTTCAATATTGAATTTCCATTTTGAAGCCTAAAGGTCATACATAATACACTGGTTAATCATATGCATTTTCTTTCTAATATATAACATATTATTGCATATTATATTCCTACCTTTATTTACTCCATTTGTTTCAGCTTCGTGGATCTTATTTAAATGTCGTTATGACAACAAACCTGAGCAAATAGATTAAACTTATTTGTATTTCAGGCTCAGACTATTTGGTGTCGAGGGTCGATCCATCTTTGTCATTAAACATCAAACAAAGCAGACTAAACATGGTTTCTCTTTAAATTAAAACATAATTTCATGATTTCGTGTTTTTGATAGGTCACCCAAAACGTCCAGTCTCTCTCCCAGAGCTGCTCCTTCTACCAAACGTCCCTCTTCTGCGCATGTCTTTTCCACTTCCACCTCGACATCATTGTCGAGTACATCTGAGTCTTCTCCGACGCCGTCACCGCGTACGAAACCGGAGACGACCGACCCACATAATAAACCAACGAGCAGAGGACACCATCATCTGTCACCCATCAGCCTCAAGACGGCTAACAAGATCACTCAGTAAGTATACTAGAA